GTGCGCGCGCGTGGCGAATCTGCGGGGCCGGCGCGCGGGGCGGTGAGTGCGCACGGGCCCGCAGCGCGTGAGGGGACGGGCGGGGGAACGGGCGCGCGCTCGTGAGGGACCGGGAGCGTTCCTGAGGGGCCGGGAGGAACCGGGAGCGTTCCGGTGGTCTGGGAGTAGGCCGGGAGGGACCGGGAGCCTCCCCGTGGCCCGTGTGAGCTCCCGAGGGCCCTCAGTGGGGAAACCCCCGCTTTGCCCCGGGAGTTTTCCCCGTGCTGGCGGCTCGGTGGGGATAAGGACGCTCTGTGTTCGATGTTGGGCCGGGGCTTGGCTGAGCGAGTGATTCCCGAGGGAGAGGAACTCGGTGTGCCCTTGGAATGGAGAAATGGAAGATGGAGTAGAAGGAAAAGACAAAAAAAAAATAAAGCTCGACGTGTTAGCCTCAGGTTATGGGTTTATTGAGTGAGAAGTGTCAGCCAGGTGTGATGTCACTTAAATAGGAGAGTGCTGGTGGGAAAACGTGTATTTTCCCTCAGGCCTGACGCCCATACACGAGTTCAGTGTGCTCAGAGGCTCTCCTGGTGCCTGAGGTCTGGCTGACTCGGTAACTCCTCACCTTTGGTGTTCCATTTCTACCTCTGATCCCTTCAGAGCAGGGTCCAAACCCAGGAGACAGGGAATGATAACCTGTGCAACAGCTACACCTGGTTATCCAGCTCCTCACTAGCCCCTCTCATGTCACCCTGCCCTAATCACTTCTTTAAATGCCTCCGGCCTCTTAAAATCAATTTGTTCGGACTTCTTTTAATTCTGATGTTAATCCAGTTGTAGTCTAGTAATCCCCCATGATAAAAGAACTTTCTCTACAAGCTGGGGGGAGTTTACCTTGACACAATTCCTTGAATCGAGATTTTTATTCTTTGAGATATTTGATTTGCTGTTTTCACTCTTCAGAAACACTTGCAGGGTGTTGTCTGTGTGCAGGAGGAAGCAAAGGTTTAAAGAGACATTTCGGCTGTCTTTTTATGGAGTAGGTGATAATTACAACTGATTCAGATGGTTAATGGGGATTACAAGTGTGAGTGATTTATAGTGTCTTTCCATCACTCTTCTCAGAAAAATGCAGCTCTTCTTAAAAAGATGGGGAAAAATCCCAAACACAGGGTTTATTTATTTTGCTCAAGGGACTTGTCTTAATGTCTCTTTAGAACACCAAAATATGTTTGGAAGAGCCCGAGGACCTTTCAAGAAGGGAGATTTCCCAGTTTTTGCTCCTTTCTGGTGAACCAGTGCGCCCAGACTGTGTGTCCCTTGCAGCAGAGGTTTATTCAGAGACCTCTGATTCCTGCAGTGTGAATATCCTTGCTTAGAAAGGCAGAGCTGAATTTTAAATCATGTTTAGCCCACAGGGAAGTCCTCCAGGCTCTGTAGGATTAAACCTGAGCGGAGCAGGAGTGGTGTGAACAGCTCTGTAGGAAGCTCTGGGCTGGGTTGGCTGAGGTGCTGAGCACTCTTTCATCACCCTTGTAAAACTTTTTTTCAGAGTTGGAAGGAAAGGGAGAAGCAGCAGGAAAGTTTGAAATAATACATTTACTAGACTTTGCAACAAACCAGATTGGCACATTCTTGGGAATGTTCAGTAGCTTGTATTTAGCTGTAAGCTGATTTATAGCTGAAGGTGCAGCAGAGCCTTGTAATTTCACTGTGGAATGTGTGAAATACCTGTACTGGAACAAGAGCTTCAGGCACTTCAGATCAGATGAGAATCAGAGCCTTTCCCAGGTGTCAAAGCTCTGTGAAACTACAGTTTCAATCTACCATTTCCAGTCTTGCCAAATCAGTCACAGAAAGACAGGGATCAGGTTTGCTGTAAACACAGATCAACACCGAGTGTGAGAAAATGGCACCAACAGTTGAAGCTTTGAGCTTCCCGCCTTTGGCAGAGGACAAAAGTCTTCCCTGCTCCCTGCAGTTTCTGTTTAATTATCTACAAACCCTGCCCTGAGAGAATTGTCACTGGTCTTGTTTTCTCACAGGCTGAGAAACGAGAGCGGAGTTGCCATCACTCTCACTGCCTACTCCAGGGCATGTCCATTTTCCTGAAACAAATTAGGGGTTTAGGAGAGAGGCTGGAGAGGGACTTTGGACAAGGGCATGGGGTGACAGGACAAGGGGGAATGTTTTGCACTGCCAGAGGGCAGGGTTAGATACTGGAAAGAAGTTCTTGACTGTGAGTGTGGTGAGGCCCTGGCACAGGGTGCCCAGAGGAGCTGTGGGTACCCCATACTGGAAGTGTTCCAGACTGAGCTGGAGGGGGCTTGGAGCAGCCTGGGATAGTGGAAGGTGTTCCTGCCCATGGCAGGAGGGTGGAATTAAATGATCTTGAAGGTCCCTTCCATCCCAAACCAGTTTGTGATTCAGTGAGAACTTAACTAAAACCCGGGTCCTTGTTAGCCACCATATCCTGTAGGTTCTGCTTCAGAATAACCTGTGTGACATGTCTGCCCATGATGAATTCTTGCATCTTACATCCCAGAATCATCTGTGCCCTTGGCCTCCCCTCTCTGAACTGGCTCCCTGTGCAGGGATAAAGTGTGATGTTAAGAGGCAGATGTCATCATCCCTGTGCTCTGGGAGGGGATGTAGGGACAGTTCACTCTTGTGAGAGCTCCCTGCTGCTATTTTTAGTTGCTTCATTTTCTTTCTGTTGGAGAAATAATTATTGCTGTCTCTTTGTTCATGTTCAGGGAGCTTGTGTATCCCTTCCTTTCCCCCTGCTGAGAGACTGCAATAGATAAAGCTCACTAAAACATGAATGTCTTGCCCAAAAATTGGCAAAGCATAATAGAAGATTAATTCTAAATAGCCCTTGCTAAAGGACTAAAAGAACTTTTTTTTTGTCCCAAAGTGATTGCTCTTCAGTGCTCATTTTTCTTCCACAGGTTGAATTACACTCAAGGAACTCGTTCTTGCCTACATGTGATATTAGTTTGCATTATCATCTGTGATAATAGGTCTTAGATAACATGGAAATTAAGAGAAAAGGAAGATTAGGCTTCAGTCTTCTAGGAAACCTGCAGGGATGCTTTCAAGCCTTAACTTGTTCAGTGTGTTGGATTAGGCATGTGAGTCTTCTTGAGGATGCTTGTTTAAATTCTTGGATCCATCGCTGTTTACTTTTTCCCTTTTTCTTTGTGTCATTTCTTTAAGGCCATTTTCATTATTCTGTGTTTTTCTTGCATTTAGTTCACTACAATAACCACAACTTTTGCTGTAGTTCAGGTGTTCGGTGCAGCTACACAGTAACCAGGCCCTGCACCTTGTTCTTCATCTGTTCAGTGACTGCCAGTTTATATTTGCCTTTTTTCCTTACTTTTTACAGATCACATCTAAAGTCACTGAAACTCTAAGGCTAGAAAGTGTTACAACTTTGCTTCTTCCCCAGCTCCTGCCCTAGCTTATTTAGTAAGTTTGACAGCACTTATAAAAATAAGGTATTCTGTAAGTCACTTTAGCTGTGTGAAATGCCCTAAAAGTCTTTAAAGGACAGCAATTAGCAGGTGGATCTGGTAAGGTTTCATACCTGGAATTATCTTGGTTTTTTTAATTGAATACATTCCCAATAGGTAACTTCCCTTTGAGTGAATGGCTTGGAAGTTTGCTAGCAAAGTTGCATTTAAACTTCAAGGATGCACAAAATTCCATTCTGATGCAAAATGCTTTTTTAATTAAAACTCTACTTTTATCCTCACCTTTAGGTGACTGAGTCACAGGTGGTGGAACATGGCTGGACAAATATCAGAGTCGGATCAGATCAAGCAGGTGAGATGCTGCATTTGGGAGGGGTGGTTTGAAGGTCATGAGCTGCTCTGTCCCACAGAGTGGAAGGTGTAGGGCATAGGGAAGGACAAAAACTGAGGTAACACAACCAAAATTTCAATGGGTGACCGTTGACAAAACAGCATATTTTGTGTACAAGCAGCTTCTGGTGCTGAAATCTTCTGATGGAGAGTAAACATTTCTAGTGACTTGTTCAGATTTTCTTACACCATGCACCTGTGTGGAAGAAAAATAAACACTGATTCTGTAAATTTTTTTTTTAATATTCATTGTCCAATTTTTATTTACAGTTCAAGGAGTTTCTTGGCACATACAATAAACTTACAGAAAATTGCTTTGTGGACTGCATAAAGGATTTCACTAGCAGAGATGTGAAACCAGAAGAGGTAGGTGATGGCTTCTCATGACCCTTTGGTAGAATTGCTGTGTAGCATTCCAAATTCAGAAACAACTTAGAGTTTGGATCTTTAAGATACAAAGTGAGGCAGCAGCCTTCAGGGGAGTGTGGGTGTCTGGCATGTTGCTTCCATCAGTGTCCCATCACATCCCAGTTTGGACAGGGCTTGGAGCAGCCTGGGATAGTGGAAGGTGTCCCTGCCCATGGCAGGGGGTGGCACTGGGTGCTCTTTAGGGTTCCTTGCCACCAAAACCATTCTAGAAGTGGTTGTCACACACAGAATCTGCCCAGTCTCCACTGAATATTGGCTGCTTTATTACAATTTTGTGTTTCATTCCCTGAACTGTCAGTGGAGGTTCTTGTGCCTTAACTTCTCATGGATGGCAACTCCATGGACATGGAAGCTGCCCACCTACAGCCTGCATCTCATTCTTTGAGGAATTCTGCTGAAGTATTTGTTTACCTGCCCACGCTCCTGCTTTGTAGTGAGTCATGGGAACACAGCTCTGGCTGTTAAATCCATTTCCCTGCACTGCAGGGAGCTCCCTCACATTATCATCTGCAAAAAGATTAAGCTCTCCATAAGATTAGTTGCATGTTTTTGCTTCTCTTTGCCTGTAGAGAGGCTGTTTCAGAGCCTAATCATTTTGTTGCTTAAAAATCTAATAACCTTTGCTTGACTCTGCTGGCAGGACAAAAAAAAAAAAAAAAAGCCTAAGATTTTAAACTAACCACTGTTTCTGAGCCTTTTCTGCCTCCTTGCAGCCTCCTCCTCACTGCAGGCAAAACTCGTGTCTCCTTTCAGCTTTGGTTCTGCTGCCCTGAACAGAAGTTTCTTAGCTTCCCAAGACAGACTTTTTCTTTCCCTAATCTTCTCTGCATCTGCTTTAGTGGAATTCTATTACAGGTCATAATTTATTCTTGGATTAAAGATAATTTAGGTCCAAAAAGTATTCTTGGAGCAACCAGGCCTAGTGGGAGGTGTCCCTGCCATGGCTGGGCATTGGAATGAGATGTTATTTAAGGTCCATCCCAACCCAAACCATTTTCTGATTGTGACCTGCCTTTTTTTCCTTCTGTGCATTGCAGATGGTTCATGTCTGGTAGCACAGGAACCATCTGTTAACAGTGGAACTAGGAAGAAATTTCCTTATGGAAAGTTCTGCCCATCCTGTCCATGATGGGATTTCTTGCAGAGCACCTGTCTCTGGAAACAGGACACTTGTCTAGATGGACACTGTCTGTCTGCTGTGGAAATGCCCATGTTTCTCTTGAGAGTTATAGTTCCTTATTAAGTAATTGAGATTGCTAGCTCCATGCATCCCTTTTGGGATCCTACACTTGAAAAAACCCAACTCGTGAGCTCTTTCCTTGCCCAAGTGCCAGTGCAAGTCTGGACTTCCCAGCAAGGTGTCACACACACCGCTCCCTCTGGCAGCAGAGGCTGGGGCAGGTCCAGAAGTTGTTTCCTAGGGAGACTCCACTCCTGCTCAGCAGGTTTGGCTGTAGCTGCTGCCAGGCTGAGGACAGAGAAGGGCAGGTGCTGGGTGGTGTGTGGAGTTTCTTGGGGTTTTGTCTAGTTCATTTTCACCCCTTCTGCTTTTCACATCCCTCTGTTCCAGCAGAACCAAAGCAGTGGCTGCTTTCCCAGGCAAAGGGGTTAACTTTCATTTCAGCCCAAATTTCACTTTGCAGTGATAACAAGGTTTTGAGCCATGGCATAGAATATCCAATTGGTAGGACTGTAGTTCAGAAATTATCTCCTAACTCTTTCTTTACACTTAAGAAACCACTTTAAATTTGAAGACTACTGTGGTTGGAATAGGCTCTGGTATTTATTTGCCAGTCCAGCTGACGGATGTACTCTGGTGGCTTTGCTGAAGGGTAACAAGGCAGGTATCAGAAGGCTGATAGAGCCAATGGGAACAAGGGTTAAAAAGGGTTAAACTGAGTTAGCAGAGAGCATATCATATTTAGCTTTCAAAGCCAGTATGTTTGTAAACAGAATTAAAATAAAATTTACTCATTTAATAGATTTATTAATCATTTCAAAATGTACAGTTCTATTCCACAAGAGGTGCCCAGGGACAAAAGAATGGTACCTCCTAGGTCCAGGGTGTTTTCCATGGAGACTTTAATATGAGAATAAATATTAGTAGATGTTTCAGGCATAGCAGAACTCAACTTTACATTTTCTACTGTCCTCATCTTGAGGCTTGACAATATGAGATGTACTCACCTAACTGTTTATCCCTGTCTGTGGTGATGTTTTGTGTCCTAGTTGGGGACATGTTTGATTTACTGTCTGAAGCCCTCTGTTTCCCTCTTGCTGTAGATAACTTGCTCAGAAAACTGCCTGCAGAAGTATCTAAAGATGACACAGAGGATCTCCATGAGATTCCAGGAGTACCACATCCAGCAGAACGAGGCTCTGGCAGCCAAGGCAGGACTGCTCAGCCAACCTCGTTAGACCAGAGCACTGTGCTCAGACTTAAGCTGTGCCAGTGTTCCCTGGGCAAGAACACATTGGGGGATTCCTACTGTCAGGATGTGTGTCCAGCAGCTCAGAGCAGAGCTGTGGGTGCTGCTCAGGCAGTGGGGGCCATGAAGGGTTAAACAGGAGCTCAGTCGTGGTGGCCTGGCAGTGGAATTTGTTTCCACAAGGGAATGATGCAGATACAGCTTTTCCCAGGGCCCACAGACTGGTGTCCGAATTTCAGGGGTGGTGGGAGGGCTCACTTGCCTTGTGCCAAGACTGGTTGAGATGAATCAATTTAACGTGGGGAATACACTTTTTTATTTAATTCAAATAAAATCAACAGGAGCTAAATACACGTGTGTGTTCTTTCCAAAGAGCCATTTTTGGGACATTTGAAAGCAGCATTTTGTTTGCTGGGGTCTCTTTGCTCAGCTGCTCCAGAGTCTGTTCGTTCACTGCTGCTTTAGGAGCTGACAGATGCCAGAGGGAGCTCAGGCAGGGCTGCTCTGCCGGCCTTTCCCCAGGTTATCTTTGTCTGGTGCCTTATTCTGTCATTTACAGGGGACAGAGGGGCACTGGCAGCTCCTGTGCACCCTTTGTTTCCCTCGGGGAGCCCCATGGGCTCCTCCCAGCCTGGCCTGACACACTAGCACTGAGCTTGCTGCAGTTTTCTCCTTTCTCCCTGGGAATGCCAACAGGAAATACAGGCTGTGCACAGCACAGGGCCGGTCCTGCTGCTGCATGAGCCCAGAGAGGTTTGGAAGGCAGCTGGACTGGGTTAGGAAACACAGCAGTGCTTTGGGAGGATCCTGACAGCTGAAATCCTGCAGTCAGGGCCTTAGTGCCATGGAGTGACAGTCAGCAGGCACCCTGTGCTTCAGTTGTAACTCATAAAATACAGGAACAACAGGAACTCAACACCAGGGGCACCAATTTTGAGATTCTAAATGATGAGTGAACCAAAGCTATTTCATATCTGCTGCCAGATTCTGTTATTTATAGAGAGGCAACAGCAAGGAACAGAAAGGGCAAAAGGACTTTTTTGTTACTACCTTCTCTTCCTTTTTATTTCCAGCAGCAGCTTTAATGACTAAGTCAGCTGTCCAGGCTGTGGATTGCTGGCCCCTGAGGGCAGCAGTGCTCCTGCCACTTGCAGCAGACACTGCTCTCAGTGCTGCTCTCCGGCTCGCCCTGGATGCTGTTCCTGGGCTTGCAAAGGTGGAAGGAGCCGAGTCCGCACGTTTGGACTCGCTGTACCACAGCTCCTTCCTCCTGTGCCTTGTTACCGTGGAGATGGGTAAGCGCTGCCTCTGAAACAGTGAAGGCTAAAAACCAGCCCAAATAAGGCAGAAAGTCTCCAATGTTCTGTTTTTTCAAAGGAATATCAGGCTAAAACCGTCCAGATTGTTTGCTACAATCAGGCCACAAATGTTGCAGCCAATTAGAATCAATACATGCATAGCAAAGACTTGAAGGCTTTCCTTGAAGCAGCTCTCTTTTTGTTAAACATGTGAAAGTAATCCATGATTGAGATTTTCAGCTGGATCTTCATGAGGAAAGAGCTGCTCAGGAAAGTGTCTGAAGAGTTTAACTGATGGAAGTGGAGGATTTTCATGTCTTCTGAACAAACCACCTTGGGGCTGAACTGAGGGGGTTAAAAAAATAATAATTTTCTCTCATTTCAGTATTTGGAGGTAGGAATATATTTAAATACATATGAGGAGAGATTTCCTGAAAAAATGATTAAGCAAGTTTTAGAGGGACTTAGTTAATAAATTACCCACCAGTTCTGTCAAAGCTCTGTTTCTGTACAAAAATGTGGTCTTTCAAATCCAGATGACAGGCTGCATACAGACAATACAAATATATTTGAGCTTGGAAATAAAATGCATCCACATAACTAAAGCATTCAAGTGATAAAAAGAAATAATAAAAATAGGATAAAAATGGTTTCAGTCTGGATCCTAAGAGAAAGACAACTGCATTTTTCCTAAATGCTGTTAAGGGGTGTCAAGAGGAGGTGAATCACCTTGCTGAGGCACACTAAGTGCAGGAATGGATCTCACTCTGATGGGAGAAGGAGCAAAGGGTGAAAAATGGGAAATTGCTGAGAAATGAGTACTGAGAAAGCTGTGGAAAAAGGGAGCCCAAAGTGGAGGTGGGAGGGGAGGGCAGCCTGCCAAAAATCAGCTCAATGAAACTGAGCTGGTAAACAGACACTCATTTGGAGGAGATGCTCACTGCAGCAGCAACGGGAACACGGATCCTTCCTGCTGGAAACACACACAATTCCTCCTCAGCCCACAGAAACAAGAACCATCTCAGCAGGAAGGGTCAAATCAGAACCTTGCTCCAGAGTGCCCTGGACAGCAGCAGTGCTGGCACAGCCATCAGATCAATCAGCTGGAAGATTATAATAGAGGCTCCTTGAATTCTCTCCAGGATAAAAGCAAAGCCCCAATTTATGTAATCCCCTGCTGAGAGCTTCAACTGCTGAGCTCTGTTGGAAGGCAAGAAAAGGAGTGACTGCAGTGCTGTGTCAGGGAGTGTGGGTGAAACACTGAGTCTGGCTGTGGCTTCAGAGCAAGGAAGCAAATCCTCTGTGCTCTGACATTCCCCACTCTGGGAACTGGAGCTTAGCAACAGCTCAGTTCAGCAGTTTCTCTTAGCTAGTTGGGAAGTCAGCACATGGCATTTGAGGAATCCAGTTCAGATCTTAGGAAACCCATTAAGCTCAGCTCCAAAATTCCTTGAATGAGTCTGGCCCAAACTCTAAAAGCAATTAAAGCCTCTGACACCTGAACCTGCATCATGCCGGCATCCTGAATTTCCAGAGGACAGCATTAAAAGAACTCAAAAAGTTAAAAATTCAAATTCAAGAACTCAGAAATTCTGCTTCATATTGGAGGATTTTTAAAATTATGTTTTACCTTAACTTCACACTCCTTTGTGTTTTGGTGTCAGGGAGCAGCAGGTTCTTCACAATTAATGTCAGGAAAAATGCATGTGTTACCTTTTTACAGCACCAGCTGGAATTAGATTGGGGAAGTACATTAGTGACTATTTCTTCAGATTAAACTGTGGTTGTATTACTGGCCACACTGCACTAAATGGCACAGGGAGGTGGCTGGGTCACACCAGAAGGCACTTGGAGGAAGGATCCTGGGGCACCAGGAAAGGGGCAGGGTCACCCTTGGAGTACTCAGGGACCACAGAGAGGACTGGGGCACGAGCAGATACTCCTGGGGGTGTTGGAAGTAGATCTGTAAGTGTCCTTTCCAGTCTGAATTGTTTTCTCCAGCGACATAACGAAATGTCTTATGGAAGATCTGGAAGAAAAGACAACACATTTCACTGTTTGCCTGCACATCCTCAGCTCCAGCAAGGCTCTGGGGCAGGCAGGACATTGCAGGGGATGCAGTGAGCAGTGTCAGCCCCGTGCACTGGGACAGTCCCACAGTAAAGGTTTTATATGCAACCAGCTCTGGGCTGAATGAAACATCAGCCAGAGAGGCGTTACCCTGCCCACTGCCTCTGAGCCAAAGAGAAATCACATTCTCCATAATTTTTCAGTGTTCTCCAAAGGAAAAGCAGGAAACAAGAACAGCAGCAGCTAAACCACAGCCACAAAGACCAGCTCCCTCCTGCACTGCCTGTGGATAACATTATTCCATAATTATTCCCACAGGATTAAGTGGGGCTGCTCTCACATTCTGAGTTAATCACATTCAAATACCTGCACAGACCAACATAAAATTTTACCTCTCACTGGTTCCACTGCCAAAACATTTCCTTATCAGAGAGGGGTTGTCCTGCCCACCTGAGGGCAGCCACTGCCTCTCCATCTGGGATGGCACACAGGGGTCACCTGCAGGGTGGGAAGCAGAGCATGTGCAGATGGAATCAAGGGTTGGGGCTTTTTTTTTTCCTTTTAAAATAGCTTTATTTATTCACAAGGGAAATAAAGGAGCATCAAGAGAGATGGTTTTAAATTAAACATACACATAAACAAGTGCCTTGTTATAACAGAAAGAAAAAACACTCTTGTGCAATATAGCAAAGTATTTCACACGAATTCCACATCTTACCCCTCCTTATGAAACTGGCATAGCTGGCAGGAGCACAGTAAATTAGGTCAAGCTGTACCCAGATGAGGGATTAGAGGAGGAGTTTAGGAACAGCTGAAGACACCAACAGTGCTGGAATGGAAATGTTGGGTTACTCTGAACAGCAGGAAAAGCCAGAGACATCACCAAACCCACAACACCAAGGCAGAGCAGGGTGTCCCTCAGCAGCAGGCTCAGGTGAGGGTTAAACACGAAGTGACAACCCCCTGCAGGTTGTCACAGCTGTAGCAGAGCTCCAGGGCAGCTTTTCATTGCTGGCAAACACTGCAAGAGGGAAAGTGAAGCAAAGCCTCCGTGGTTACTGCAGTGAGTGAGCTGTGCTGGTGCACTGAGGCCAAGTGGCATCAAACAAAGACACTCCTCATGTCTGAAAACTCTTGGTGTGGGAATAAGCAGCAGCATAAGGGTGTTAACCAATGTGAACAGCTGCAGAGCTGAAGCAGAACCAACCTGCTCTGAGCCAGAATTTAGGGCTCCTCTGAAATGGGAAGGAGCAGGAATAACAGCATAAATAGCGAAGGTAATTCAAACTAAAGAAGAAACCAGACAAGTCCTATTCTTAGAAAAACTGCTTTCACAATCAACAGCTTCATCCTTCCAGTCTTTAAATGACAGCATGGTATTTGCCATTGGGTTGTGGTTAATCATAAAATCCACCACTCCCTGGCATTAAAACAAACACACCAGCAGACCAAAAACACTGAAACACAAAGAAATGAATTTACATATCCATCCAAAGCAATGGATGTGACTAAAAAATACTTGTGGGAACTTGGGGAACTCACAGATCTCCAGAGCAAACGAAAGGCCCCGAATAAATCCCAGTTACTCAGTGGTAACTGATGAAAGTGAATAATTTTAAAACTCTGAGACCTCTTTAAAATCCCATCCTATTTGGTGTGAGAATGCAAGATGGGAGAATGACAATTTTTCTCAAAATATGAGAGCAATAGCTTAATAAGTGTGAGCCAATTATAAAATGT